AGTTGGGAGACCTCCCAGGCATTCCAAGTTGGGAGACCTCCCAGGCATTCCAAGTTGGGAGACCTCCCAGGCGTTCCAAGTTGGGAGACCTCCCAGGCATTCCAAGTTGGGAGACCTCCCAGGCGTTCCAAGTTGGGAGACCTCCCAGGCATTCCAAGTTGGGAGACCTCCCAGGCATTCCAAGTTGGGAGACCTCCCAGGCGTTCGAAGTTGGGAGACCTCCCAGGCGTTCCAAGTTGGGAGACCTCCCACCCGTTCCAAGTTGGGAGGCCTCCCAGGCGTTCCAAGTTGGGAGACCTCCCAGGCGTTCCAAGTTGGGAGACCTCCCAGGCGTTCCAAGTTGGCAGACCTCCCAGGCATTCCAAGTTGGGAGACCTTCCAGGCGTTCCAAGTTGGGAGACCTTCCAGGCATTCCAAGTTGGGAGACCTCCCAGGCATTCCTAGCCCCCTGGGTTTCAAAAATCATCTACCTGGCCAGATCGGGGCGAGTTCGGAGCGTGTCCAGTGGAACGGAACGAAGTTTTTGTTGCTCGAAGTCACTCCAAGTCGGCTTTGGGGATGCGATTCCGGGTCAAAGGCAGCTCTGCGGTGCCTTCCCTGTTTGGGAGGGTCATACACGTCAAGCACCACCAGCTTGAGCCACGGGTTTCATGCCAGTTCTTCGGAAACTGAGGCCATCCTCAAGACGGTGAAAGAACAGGCATCCGTCCGTCCGAATCCCTTGGCGCATATGTGGGTTCGTCATTTGGTGGCAGTGCAGGAAGCTGTGGCAGCTTGTGATAGCCAGGTAGACAGAAGACAACAAACATATTCAACCCTCCCACCATCTTCCACCAATGCCATTTTTCTTGGTGTTTGTTGCATGTCTTTGGTTTCAAGCTTGTTTCATAGGATCTCCCCAAATCTCAGGTTCACCATTCCTGCATGTTGGGGATGCCGGGTGCGACTGCTCGGACACCGGAGGTCCAAGAGGCTCAACGGATCTTGGAGGAGTTCGCCACCTGGGCCAGTCGGGTGGAATCCTCTTTGGTCCTTTTCGTCCGAGACCCGAGCCATCGCGAGGGAGGAGTCAGCGCGAGGGAGGAGTCAGCGCGAGGGAGGAGAGCGCGACCTTCAGCTAAGCAGTTTGGATAAGGAGGTTTTGGATTTTCGGATGTTTGCCAGTGTGAAGCACTGTGAAGAACGGAATTGGAGTTAAAATGTCGAGCGGGATGAATTCAGTTTGGCTACAGCGGCACGCAGTTGTAGCTCTAGGATGTTCTAGGTATATATCCGTGCAGCTGGTGGCAGCTGTTGGTGTTTTTGCCTGGTGCACTCAAGGCCACATCGAAGCCCTCTTGGTGTCGGAAGCTCAGACTGCTTCTTCGTTCATATGAGTCACGCTGTGAGTCACGCTGTAGGGCCACGGCGGCCACGGGCCACAAACGACCACATTGATCACAGAAATGTGGATTCTTTCCAAGCTGTTGCCACAAGGCCAGGTTAAATATAGGAAAGGAGAGAGACTATGATAGACTTATGTTTATATATTTAGTATGTGCATGTATGGTGTATTGGAATGTGACTAGTGTGTATGTGGAATTATTCTGAATTACACATATATGTGCGAACATTCGAATTCGCCTCCAAAGACTCTTGTTTCCAATACAACGTCATGCTTGGACCATCTTGGACACTTTTCATCGAACTTCACACACTGCCCGTGACCAACTGTGAGCCTGCTGTGACCAACGGGGAGGCTACCTCAAATATGGGATGCCTGACTCTGAGACTCCAAAGACTCTTGTTTCCAATGCAGCCTGTGACCAACTGGGATGCCTGCTCTGACCAACGGGAAACTTTTGGGATGCCTGACTCTGAGAGTGATTTGACCTTCCAAGTGACGTTGCGCATCCAGGTGCTCTGGCCGCAGCCGAACCCAGTGCGTTGATTGAAGAGGCCACCAGGCGTGGGCCGGCTCTGGGCGCGCGGGTCGGGCGTGGGGGCGTGGAGTGGGCAGGATCCATGGGGGTTGATCTTTTCCGGTCTGCGTCGTGACATCGCGGGTTGAAAAGGGAGGGTGCTTCTTGGAATGATTGGAGAGTATGTTGTTGGGTTTTCCTGTCGTTGCACTTGTGTGTTCCAGGTCTTCATTGAGAGCATCGCTTGGCACACAAGAGCGTCACAGTCACAGTGTCACAGTGCCAAAGAGTCCATGAAGCATCATGAAACTGTTGTTCAAAGAGCGCCCCCCCTCTTTGTTTTCTAAGACTTTGGAATGCCAAAACCTTATCGCTTCTGGGGTTGGTTTATCTTTGGCTTGGTGAGTTGACCCCAAAGCCTGTGCAGCAGGATTTTCTTGTGACCGGGATGTGCTGGAACAGGAGTCCACAGCAGGAAATGCCTGGAGTCCCCATGCGGGCCAGCATGGCCGGCATGCCACCCCTGTAAGATGTGTGGAGCTGTTGTGAGACCACCTGTGAGCTATAAGGACATCAATCATCAATCATGGAAGCCCGCAGTTTTGAGCGTTTGAGAGGAGTATTGCACTTCCATTTTTGTTGATGTGATGTGGGTGATTCAGTGACTTCACCTGTCTCATGCCTTGATCCATTAGGTTGAGGCAGGTCTTCAACAAAATCATCCAAGCCACCAAGAAGAAGGCGTGATTCCGCCGCGCTGACATCCAGCTGCTTAAGTCCCGGCCCGTCGCGTTTACTTTGCATGTCCGGGCTGGCAGCTTGTCATTCGGGCCAGTTTCTGTGGATGCCCTGACCACCCGAGGTGCATTGACCATCCATTTTAGAACCCTGTAGACACAGTTATCTGGAGATATTTGGGGCCTCTTTGTACCTCAGAAAATGGATGAACATGGGTACAAGTACTACATACTTACATATATTTACTACATCTTACTACTGCTGCCACTGCTACTGCTACTGCTACTACTGTTTTTTGGTCACGAACCATTCGGGCCCGGTACCTTCCGATCTCGTCTCGGGTCGCTCCATCGGTCGAACAGCCCCCTGGGTCGACACGCCACCAGAGCCACCTTCGCTTGGGACGCGGTATGGGTCTTCACAAGACCCGGAGCGGGTGGTCACCGTTCACTCCGGGTGTTGGCTGGTTTGCTGCTTTTGATGTTCTCCCCCCAAAAATCTAACTTTGTTCCAGGTTCCTTCGCTTCGGTTCCTTGAGCCAATCCCAGTCACCAAGTGGAGAGCGGTCCGGGCCCTTGGCTGGTCGGAACGTCGGTCCGTGCCCGGACTCGGGGCACGGTTGTGCACCGCACGGGCAGGTGCCAGTGCCTTCCAAAGAGGTTGGGAGTCGATCCGGTGGATCAACGCTGGCAACATGTTCATGTCAATGCGGAAAACAGCGGCAGGTCTTGTGACCAACAGGTGGTGACCCACTCCTCCAGCGATCAGAACACACCGATCAGCGCGTTGTTGGTTCCGAGATGTTCCGAGCAATGCCAGAAACTGCCCATAAACATTGTCGTTCTTGATCTGTGGGACAATCCAAGTGGCCCAATCTTGTCCAGGCCGGCCCAAAACGCCGGCCCAAGAGCGCGTCGCAGGCGCGAGCTTCGCAGTCCATGCGATCGATCTGGAAGCTTTGTTTGAAGGTCAAGAGTGTGGCGTTTGTGGGTCCAAGGTTATGTAACCTTGAGCTTCGCCTGTATGTTTAACCTTGTCCTTTGCCTGATGACTATAAAATCTATAAAGCTTTAAGGACCATATAGTGGACCATAGGGAACCATATAGAAATAGCCAGTACCATCCAGTAACCAAATGATTAGAAAGATTAGGACAAAGATACGCTTTGCATCTCTTTGCAGTGATCTAGGAAGATTGCATGTCTCCTGCCAGCCCTGCTGAAAGGCCACTCCACTTCTTCAGTAAATGCACAATGCTTGGAAATGCATGGGTTCCGTGTGTATTGTACTCTGGCCAGGGTTCCAACCTCTTCCCATCAAATGGCTGTTGCTTGGAGATGCTTGGAGTATGTCGCCTGTCGCCGGTCAGGCGACCAACTCTGGAAGCAAGGAGGAGGAGGAGGAGGGGGCGGGAAGGAGTGCCCAGTCATGTTAAAACAAGATTTGACATGCAAACAACAAAGCAAGTAAATAAGTAACTATATCTATACTGTGTACATATATACACATGTTTGTATATATCAGCAGTCAGGAATCTGATATCGTCGAGTCCAATCTTGAGTTGGCAAAGACTTGCGTTTGCAATTCAGCGAGAGCTTGGCTTAAGATGTTGACTTTGTCACTTGTCACGTTCGCTTGATCCTCGATCAGATTAATGCGCAAAAGAGCCAACACATGTGCTTTACTAGTCAGGAAGCAACTTTGAAGCGATGCAAATGCACATCGAATATAGTGCTAGCTGATAGATGCTAGTTGGTAGATTGTATCCAGCACACGGCAGAGGGTTGCCAATTTACATTGGCCCCGTAGACTGGTCACTCTATTCTTTGATGCTGGGGCCACAGCTGCCTCACGAAATGTGTTTGGAATGTCTGTAGGGGGTGGTACCTTCTCAGGAGGTATTGGGAACCCTAGGATGAGGGGAACATGCATAGACCTAGCACTGACCAGAAATCCGAGTTGAGAAGTTGGAGGGTGCCATTCCGCATTTAGGCGTTCGTATCATTAGAATAGTCATTTGAATACTGGATTACACATTAAGTGGCGTCCAACCTCGGGGATGCAAGGGGGCGCCAGGGCCGCAGGGGCTCCTTTTGACCGGAGCTATTTGAGTCGCTGGAGGCGATGGGACAGAAATATGGACCAGCTGGGATTTGACCGACCTTTTTTGCATCCTGGATAGCTTCAGAAAGCAGAATTCTTTACAGCAAGAAACTGTCGATGTCATACTTTTATGTGGCATTAGTTTAATGATCTCATGTTGTACAAATCTTAAGATACCTGCCATTCATCTCTATTTGGCCGCAGGTCTTTGGCTAGCGCCAGTGGCCCCGGATCCCGCCGAACACCGCGCGGGGTTTGTGGTCCTTCAGTGCTTCTGCAGTGCGCGCTGATCAAAGATATGCGCGCGATTGAAATTCATAAACCACATGTTCATCCGGTGTTCGCCAGATGTTCCAACAGGTTTTCAGGCGGAATTTGTTCGAAAGGCATAGTTTGGCGCATTAGCATTACTCGAAAAGACATCCACCGAAGAGTTTGGAGAACTGATTGCACATCGCAAGTCCCCTAAGTCACCCCCCCGGGGGGTACACACCTTTGGAAGGGAAGACTGCTTTGCAGAACGTGCAGTTTTTTCAGGTCCCAGAGGCACGGACTCCAGGTCAGTAACCTTCAGGGCGCTGTGGGGAGCGGAGAGAGAGAGAGAGAGAGAGAGACTGGTTTTGGCATGTTTTTTTTGTGGAGATGGTGCAGCAGCTGGTGTTGGAAAACACACTTCCGATACGCATCTATACCCCCTGTAACTGTAATTCACATCCCAGACACTCCATGTATGGAATATTTAACATTGACCCCTGGCCTGATCGGCTGTCTAAAAAGTCGTCCCATGGAGTGTCCGGAGAACATTTGTTACTAGTAGCGATGGCCTCCATCCTAGTAGCGTCCTGCAGATACACCCGAAGAGTACGCACTTTGAGTGCGATCGTCCTCCAACCTCTCCAGTTCCACAGCGCATCGCGGTGCTGGTTGGCTCTGAGCGGCCGTTTGTTCGGCGCAGCTCTGCACGCTTCCCGCGGCATCCAGCGCCGAGCCCTCTCTATGCCACTCCGCTCGAAGAGGTGAAAGTTCCCAGGGAGCCGGTTGGAAGCCGCATGTGGTTGGGATCGACTGGAAGGGAGGGTGGTGTTTCAGGGTTTGGGACTTGGAGTTAGGCTCGAAGAAGATCTTAATCAGTAACACCAAGCATATACGGTGTATTATATAATTCATATTAATTCCTCATTACAAATACGACTTTGGCCATCCAATGACGAGGCTGCCACGAGCGGCACTGATTCCAGACCAGCCAACGGTCTCCGTTTCGTGTTGGACGGTTTCCTGGACGGAGAGGCCAAACCGTTTCGTTGGCGCTGAGGTTCAGGTCCTTCCCCTCCAGGTGGCACAAGCCTTCTGGCGCGCATTGCATGTCGCCATGGCGGGGTTCGCTTTGATGACCGCGATCTCATGGTGGCTTGGGAGAAGACGTGACCGCGATCTGACCAAGGCTGTTCCCATGACCTAGGGGGGGTCAGAGACTATCTTGGGGGAGTCAGAGTCACTTGGAGGCCTTTGGCTCCTTTTGAGCCAGGTGTGGACTCTGAAAACCCAACATTTCTTCGGCAGTGTTACACTTGATGATACTTGTTGATACTTGAATCATCAGCTTTGACAAATTGATTCACGTTCAATTCAAAACTCATCAACGAAATCACGATATGTTTTTCCCTGGGCCTGGTGGTTTGAATCAATTTCTGAGTAACCACAACCTATGGGGAACCAGAGGAAAACCCAAAAGCTCGCTGCTAGCGATTTGAGGATTCGGCGACCGCATGCGACCGGGCGCTTTGGGTCCTGAACTTGAGGCTGGCTTTCCGCCTTTCTGGAGCACATGCCACTTGGGCACGAACGACGCGACGTGAAGTGGACGCGAGGACATGCGAGGACTGGAGGAGCGAACCTTCTGATTCCCTAGGTATCCAGTCGTACCTTCTCCGATACGGTGGGGGTGGGGTGGGTTTGGAGGGTCCAAACACCTTCTGAGAAGGTACTTGGATCCCTAGGGAGTTGTGTGAAGTGAAGTCCATCCAAAAGATGTGTCACAACTTCTGGAAAGGGTCGATTGATGGTCGTGTTGGCGTTCTCCTCTCGGAGAGGGCGTTTCAGGGGAGAGATGGAGAGAGAGAGAGAGAGAACAAAAAATCAGATTCTTGGACAACTGCATGGAAACAAAACGAGACAATCATTGGCCTGATGACCTGAATAATCACTCAGGAATGATGTCCGAATTATGGGGACCCATTTTTGACCTATGCTTAGTTTCGGAATAAGGGAATGGATGGGACTGGATCCAAGGAATCTCTATTGGGAGCTTTTATTCCCTATGCCTACGCATCGCACCAGTGCCAAAACGTGTCATTGAAGTCACGCTGCGTTTGTTCCGCACAGGTCATGCGGAAAGAGCAGCCTGCTGCGAGGCGCAGCTCTCTTCGTCTCACCGATCTGTTTCGCGCGGCGTGCCACGCCGTGAGGTGCAGAAACGTTTACTGTACTCGGTTTTCGTTGGAAAAGAGATCCATTTCGGGCCAAAACTCCTTGATTTGTGCATTAAATGTGGTCGCATATTGCAGGTGCTTCACTGCAGCACAGTTGCTTGTCTTAGCGTTGCTGGATTTTGGGTTCAGAGGTGTGTCAAGTCCAAGTGATGTGGAAGCATCAAGGCTCGTAATGCGGAGCTCCTCCCCGACCTCGAGCTCTTTCGACCGGAACAAGAAAGCCATATACCCAAACGCTCCATGGGACTGCCATATATGCCGATCAGTTGGGGTGGTTTGGGGGGTCGTTGTGGGGCGGCAGTCCTATTCCAGTATATATATATACAAAAAGCACGAAGCATCTAATTGGTGGTCGTTTTTTCGTCCCTTTCTTCCCACCATGCGGCAGTCGGCCTTCCAGATTCGGCCTTCCAGAGTCGGTCCAGGCATCACGTGGAAGAGGTGGAAGATCAGGGCTTGGAGTTCTCGATGGGCCGCTCGTCGACGAACGCGAACAGGGGACATGGACGATGGATTTCCCTCCATCTCATTGGAGGGCCTGTGGTTTTGTGCATCCAAAGTGCCAAGGAGGCAGACTTCTAAATTGACCCTTTCAAAGGCGTTTTCTGCTTCAGGTGTTGTGATGAATCAGGAGCCTTTTCCCACACCCTTGTGTTTGCTCCTTGCTTCTTGGGTTGATGGCTGCACCTCGCACCGGCGCGATCGTTTTTCGAGGTCCTTTGGGATGCGGTTACGTCCCGGTGCCTCACAGGAAGGAAGCCGCACACTTTTCAGGCACCGGGACTTGCACAGAGATGCATCATCCATCCCCGCTATCCCATCATCCGGGCCGGACCAGATGCGCAGATTTGAGACACGACTCCATGGACATGCCATGTTTAGACTGACATGGGACTGGCATGTTTAGACGGCCTACATCGACTTTTGAAGCCCCTGGCCGTTTCTCGGCCAATCCTGCCAGTTGAAAGGGTCCAATTTGGGGTACCGCAGGAGAATGTGGGCCATACGCTGTCATGGCTGAGCTGTAGCGGTAAGGGTTGAAGATTCTGCTTACCGAAGCCACATGAAGCCCCATGCCAGCCTTCGGTACCATGAATGGGAATTGGATTTTGAAATGAGCAGAGTGTTTTTTGAGATGAACGTTTCAACTGAACCCTTCTCAATTTTTCGGAGTGTAATCTCAAAAGTTTCTCGAAGCAGTTGGCTGAGCAGGCACGTTGCTTACTCTCCTCTTCGACTGGATACCGAAGCCTTGCGCTACTCCTTTGCTGCTGCGTTGGCGATTGCCTCAGCATCTAATATCTGACGGCTTTGTGTTAGTCGGGCCCCACCTTGAACCATATATATATATATACAATACCCTCGGATTCCAACCACCATGGATTTAGTTTTTTGTTTATATAATTGGTTTTTGAAGGCTATAGGCTCAGGGCTAAATAGGTTTTGTTTTCGTTGCAGGAGCGAGTCTCAAGGCTGTGCACCAAATTTTGTTGTTCCGCATATGCTCGAACAAATCCGGTGGAAAAAAAAGAGCACACCAGTTACCGCAGGAGTAACAAAACATTGTAAAACCAACAACGCTGCATGTGGCTGCAAGCAAGATGTGTTCACTTCAGAAAAGTGCACAATCCACCCAATTTATCATCGTTTATCCTAGTGCCCTAATGGCAAACGTTGAGTCCTCACTGCATGTAGAAAGTTGCTTGCTTTCTACATGCGGGACTGGCATGGACCAGTTCTTCAGTCGAACAAGCTTCTTCAGTCCAAGAAGCCGAAGATCCAGGATCAGACCGTAACCGCGGCATACCATCAAAGCTTTGGGCAAACCATTGCAAACCTTCTTTTGCCTGCACAACCCATTGAAGCATACAAATGGAGCATCCAGTTGTTTTGGTTGGCTGGTCTTGCGGATGAACAGACACAAGTTCCGGGTGGTTGGAAGTTCCAGGTCTAAACCCATCGAAGCATGTAGAAGCCAGACTCCAAACACAGAAACCAACACCTCAATTTCACGCAGTTCTGAGTGAACTTGTCCGGGCATTTCCATCTCTTCATCCAGCGCTGTCTCCACTGGGCATCCATCTCCGAGGTACGGATCATACTTCCAGCACATCATCACTGCGGCGGTCGGGTCAACTCAGCTGGTGCCAGCGCAGATGTGAGTTCCATGTGTCGATGTTCAGTATGTCGATGTGTCGAGGGAGTTGTTGATTGTTTTGCAGGTCATGTGATTATATAAGACCCAAGAAGTTGAAGAGAATCAGATCCTGAACCACAATCCTCATAGCTAATGGATGCTAATGGTGAAGCATACAGATAGAATAGATTTAATACAGTTGGAAGCATGATTCTCCATCACTTCCAGCTTTCATCCCCACATCTCCCTGCTATCTGGGGTTTGCTCCGTCTACTAAACTAAACTGCCGAGGTCAGTCCGCCTCCGGAGCGGAGCTCCGTGCCCCACCTGAGCTGCCGGCACCGGCATTTCCAGCTTTGCCGCTGAGCCACCACCACCGTCCCGCGCGCGAGCGAGAGCGTGATGGGAGGGATAGGGATGGGGGTGTGAGGGCCACTGATCCAATGGCTTGTGCGGCGCAACTCGGGTGGCGACGGGTCGTGTTTGCGGAGAGCAAAGACCTCGCGTGAACAAGACTTTAAGGGCACGATGCCAACAAAGCAGAAGCTTTATCACAATAATATTGGATCCGTTATGATCCATTACATCATTTCTGAAGATGCTTCTACGGCAGCACGCCGATCTTCTCGATCAATCCGGACTGCCACACCCGCCACACCGAGGCTATGCGAAGGCACACCCACGCGCGCGCCGGCGGTTTGTTCTCGGATTTCAGGTGATCAAGGACGGTCGCGTAGTTGGAGTGACCATGCCGACTCCCGGCGTTTTCTTTGGGGGGCGGCGGATGACCGTTCGCTAAATAGGGTGGGACTTGCCAAGGGCGGCCGGGAGCCGTTGATCCAGAGACCTGCGGCTACTCCGTGGGTGTCAGGTAGTGACTGTGAGCTTTCTTGATTCCTGCTGTCAAACTGCCAGGATTGCGCTGATGAGTTGGGTTGGTTTAGTGTCCCAGACACTCCATATTATGCCATATTTGCATACACGCGGGTGGTTTCAGGTGTCAAGGTAAGCAAAAGTTCCAGTCCCATGGAGTGTTCAGGGTGTGTTTATTCATGTCTATTCAATATATGTTCAAGATTTTTCACGGAAATCACTCTCATTTTCCAAAAAGATCCAAAAAGGATTACTGTAGTTCACACGATGTTTTTTCTGTCAGAGCTCAACTTCCTTGGGTGGGCTGAAAGAGGCACAGTCCTGTTTGGCAAATCCAAGCTTCACTGACACCATTGCAGCTTGGCCCCAGATGAATACAGAAAAGAAACCCCGAAACCACTGGAGGCTTCAAAATGTTCCCCGAAATCACCGTTGCTAGTGTTCCCTCACATGCATTTTGCAAAACATGATGCGGAACCCCAGCGCAAGCATCCTGGAATCACATAATATGTTCCGCATGTGTTCTTTGCGTCGGTTGTGGTGCTCCGCACCATTCAGACCGGGTGCCAGCACCTACTTGGAACTTTTCACATCACAGCGTTGTCAGACTACGTGGACACAAAACCCCTGATGTTCTTTAGATGGGGGTTCATATAAAAAACATTTATAAACCACCTCTTGGGGATTGTGCCACCTACTGTACTGTGTCACCAAGATAAGAAATGATACCACTCTTCTGTGGTTGGCTATGGCCTGGGGTCGTGAATCAGGTCTTGCGAAGACACAAAGGCCCGGCAGGGCGCACGTAGCACGTAGACAGGTTGGCGAAGTTGTCAAGGCTGTGGGGGCCGAACAATGTGTTTTGGAGTTTGATTTTTTGAGAGCCAAGTGAAACCTTGCATGAGCACCGTAATTAGACAGACAGGGCTTGGGATGGCTTGGGCTTTGTGACCCTTGAGTGTGAAAAATCCTCACCATGTTCACCTGAAAGCATCAACATCGACCATCCCGATCGCGTCACGAGATCCTTCCTGGTGACCTCATGGAAGATCAACGTTTAGGAAGATTGCTTTCCTGAAGATTTTTGCTCAGCTTCTGCATGCAGAGAGCTGGAGGAAGGGGATTTGATCTGGCCTCGAGAGCGTGGCTTTTGCGTAGAACTTTGCAAGCTACACCTGCAACCTGAGTTAGCCAATCAACCCCTGCTTTTTTGTTGAAACATTGGACCGGCATGAGATTTACTAGGTCTTTGTATTAACTCACATATGCATCCACATGAGCCAGTGCCCAGAGCTACATACTCCGCAAGGCTTCAGCAATTACCTCTTCCTTGGATCGGATGTGTTCATGCGACCCCAGCGCTTGCTAGGCGCGCCAAGGGGTCCGGAACACTGGCCTAGGTCCGGTGACTTCGCGGCTTCGCTAGGCGTTACTTTGCGCAGGGCTATAGTGGTTCATCTAAAACCAGGTGCTGTCCATGATTTTTTTCATGTCCAGTTTGCACTTGCCTAGGTTATTGATCAGGTGGCCTTGTCGTTATGAGGACCCAGCTGACCCGAGCGAAACTCGAGATCCGTGCCAATCGCCGCAACTCGACCCGTATCGTTTGGCCGTGTGAGGCTATAGGTGCTTTTGGGCAAGATTTCCACCCTCCGTGAGCCCTTTGGAGCCCAAACATCTTGGTTTAGTTTTTGCCACGTTCTTTTTTGGGGTGGATGGGTGGGTGGTTGTAAGATTCCAGCGGTTGTTGATCTCTTCTTCCTGACCCAAGGACCGGAGCGCGATCAATTCATCCGGAATCCCGTGCCCCCTCGGACTTCCAGGCTTCCCGCTGGATCGTCCATGGCTTTTAGCATCTGGTGGCTACAGTCCCAGGATGCCGACGAGCTGCGATGGCTTTACTCCTTTGGTGTCCCTAGGGGTCCAAGTACCTTCTCAGAAGGTACTTGGACCCTCCAAACCTGCATAACAGTGTCTCCAATCACCTTCTGAGAAGGTACTTGGATCCCTATAGGGTGTGTTGATTTGAGGTGTGCGCCGCCTTTCCCCCCGTTCGAACGCAGTCCATGTCCCAAACCATCCGAACGGGGATGGGTGTTTCGGCCGTCGGCCATGGATGGGTGCCTTGTTCAAACATGGATAGGTGCAGTGGATCCATGGAACCAGGGATTCGTTCAGTCTATGGTGTTTGTCTTGGGAGCCACTGTTTACCAGCGAACTAGTGGCAACTGGATCCCCTGGGTCAAAGATGTTGAACAGGTTTTGCCGGGTGAATGTCCCTACTAGAATGGGACATCGTCATGGAAGCGGAATACAACACCTGTTTGGTCTTCGGATTTCATGGCGATCCGACATTGTGGCCATCCACGTAAGCATGAGGATTCCAGGGTTTGTAAGTATAAGGGTATGTAATTCCATTTGTGTGCGGTGCTTGAGTTGGAATTTGGTGGAAGGATGTGAAACGCGTTGTGGTGCAATTGATGGCCTAATGAGAGTCCAGTTTTGAGTTTGCTTGGATTGTTGCATGTGGTTCCTTGTTTGCGAAAGCAGGCAGCTACGAAAGCGCTGCCGTGCTAGATCGAGTTGTTGCGTCTCCAGGTTCCTGTTTGGCAGCCAGGGCATCTCAGATCGACCAAACCGTGAGAGCTGCGACGAAAGCTGCGACCTCCGCCCTACCCGTGAGAGCCCGAGACCAGGAGCTATGGAGATGACTTGCTGGATAGAGCCACCAGTCGCCCAAGCGACGAGGCACAGGGAGTTCCCAGAGTTACAGGGAGGGTCCCAGACCCACTCAGCACAACACCAGAAGCAACGTTCTTCCCCCATTTGGGCCTTTGACTGTGTGTAATTCTGCAAGTTTGCTATACCTGAGGGCCTAGCATGCAATTGCTGCGAGGAAACAGGCAGGGCAGCGGTGCCACATGTTTTTCTTTGTTTAAATCCATCCTCACCGCGCCCCATGCAGAGGCGCTGATGAAATGGTGGCAGGGACCCTCTGCTGTTGCTTTGAAGAGGCACCTCGAAGGGAAGGGTGCACTCCTTGAAATGATCCAGGTCACGTGGAGTTCACCACCTGTTTCGCATTCAGATTTCCTGGTCATTCAAGGGGCCATGCCATCCACGGAATCATGATCATTTCAGGGAGTGTATTGACCTCAGAGCCTTTGAACCTTTGTTTTTCCCCAAGATGGAAGTGGACAAGCTTTTGGCTCGTGGAGGAGAACAGTATTCCAATTCCAATTCCAGGAGGCCAATTGTCGACTCCCATGATTGTTGAAGGGAGTGTATGTGTGGACCTCCAAAAGGCATCTTGGGGTTCGTGGCGTCTACTCTGAAGCCACTGTAATGATTGTAGTGAGCAATGAGGGTGTCCTGAAACCATGCAGTGCATCCGCATGAAGTAGCACGTAGCACAGGCGTCATGGTCCAGGAGTGTCACTCCAGTGGTGGTGATGGAAGGTTCTTTTGTAGGTGGCCACAACTGGCCACAACTATGCTGCCTATATGCTTGTGTGTCCACAACTATACAACTATACGAAGTTTAACAAGCCCATCACAGGCCGTAGCTCGTACAGAGATGTTTGTTTTCGGCATGGTAGTTCCATCCAGGTACCTTGAGCAAATCAAAGTACTGAACCACTTTTGTGTAGGGAATGTGGACTTTGGTTAAGGACCGGTTTGTTAATCTAGTTTCGATGTGCCTGGATGGGAAGATTCTACAAGTTGCCCCTACTTTCCCCTTGTCTCTGGAACGCAGCCGCTCATCAGCAGGTCGAGAGGTATTGGAATAGAGGGTTGGAGTTTTTTTGTGTGAGACACTCATCAAACATCATCAAGCACCTTATTCTGCAGCATCTACGAAAAGGGCATTCGTTTGGTAAATGCTCAACTTTCTCCTAGCTGCGCAGATCTGCCAAGGCCTGAATGTCTTCAGTCTTTAGGGTTTGGATATGGTTTGAGCATCTAGGATCCAAGATGCCTTGCAGTTCAATTGAGGTTATATGTGGAAGCTGCTGGTGGGCCCCGCGTACCCCAAGCTTCTGCACCTGGAGTTGCCAACATTCCAGCCATCATGGGGAAGTATTTTGCCGAGCTCTCAGTGCGTGCACAATGGCATGTCATGTCATGCTTACATCAGAAAACAATGATATGAGCGGGACAATTGCATAAGAACGTATAAGGTTTAAGAGAAGTGCACCATGATGGACCGCAGGGACCGACCATACGAGTATGGCCAGTCAGACGGGCCTGGACTGGAAGAATGATGTGATATGGATTTGGATGGAGCTATAGAAGCATCTTCAAGCTTTAAGCAGCTTCTCCAGTCCCCAGACCCCTTTTTTCAATATTAGCTGTGGGGAACAAGACGAGCCTGAACCCAGGTAGGTTGAGTTGACCTCAGTAGTCTATGATCTTCATTGTTTCGGTGGCAACATCCATATTCGGTGTGTCAACAGATGCCGTTGTCGCTCCGGCGATCTCCCGGCCTCGGTCGCCGGCCTCGGCGGTTTGGACGTCACCAGGTGTCGCTCGCTGAATCGCTGTCAGAGGTCCGAGGCGCCCAGGGGTGGAGCTCTGAAAATGGCGAGAAAGACGAGACCCCAAAAAGCTAAGTGAGACGACCCAGTTTGATGACCCAAGGCCATGCGTAGAACACTTAGAACACATATAATTGGATATACAATATGTGTTTGTATTGTAGATATGTATAATTGTAAATATACTCTTAGGCCTAGAAGACTAGGCCCTAGGCTAACCCAGTCAGCAGCTAGATGATCCATACATGGATTAGATTGAATGGGTTGTGCATCATTCAGCTGTGAGATTGTGTGCCTCACACTCCTTTAATGCCTTCCCCAGCTTCGGAAGGGACAGACTGAAACCCTGCTTCAACGCTTTTTTGGGGTGAAACATTCAGCATGATGGAGCCAGAAGTGGGCTTGAATGGGTCAACAAGAATCAGGGTTTGGATCATTTAATATCATTTAACCAATCGGCGCCCACATGACAACCAATTGAATCCAATATGATTCCAGGAAAGAGCCCATGAGAAATAGCCCATATTGAGCCGTTTGCGAATCAGAAGTGGTTTGACTATGCTTGACTTGGTTGAACCATTTCGTCACTTCTGCGTTACTTCGACCACCTAAGTGGCCCATACGGAGGTTTGAACACCTAAGTGGCGCGTAGCATCAGAGGCTAACCAGCATCCAGCATGTTCCGCTTCGAATGGATGTGAGACCAAGGGACCGATCGACAAACACCATCCATTCGTGGTGGTGGTTGGTTGACCTGGGGTGACTGTAGGTTATGCCAGTCCCATGTTTGGGGAAGGTGACAGCAACTTCACAGGTTCCAGAATCCAACATCGAAGTGTGTCGAAGTCCATGCTTTTTCGGGGAAACTTGAGCCAGCGATTTCTCCGGAATGTCCGATGGACTACGTTCTGAGGGAGCACAGTGCCCTGGCACTTCCCAATTCGATCGCATTTGCAGGTGACCTGGCACAGTCGATGATTTTCGATCTGCCCCTGAGCTCGATTTTTGGGCCCGCGGTATGCATTTGCTGAAGGAATTCCCGACGAGTTGCAGTTTGGAAAGGTTTTTCAGTCTGAAAAACCGGGCAACAGATGTTAAATATTGTGAAATAATGACACATCTCGGCTAAAATTTCCACATGGATGACCTGCCCAAACCAAAATGTAATAAAGTTCCTAAAAGTGGATCAGGATGATCATGCCTCTGCCCTATGCTGGGTGCGCTGCACATCGATGCGATCTAGACCACTTGGCCTTCCAGATATATATATATATAGGTCAGACGATGTCAGACGCGGTCAGACATACCCAGCACCACCCAGTTCAGGTGTATAGACCCATGTATGATGTACTTGACCATCCCGGGTAGTTCTGGAGGATGCATGTCTTAATCTCCCAAGATCTCCCATCACCTTGCCAGCTACATCAAGCTGAACAGGACTGATGGGGCTGTCCGCTTCAAAACCTGCGCACACCGTGTCCACGTCCCGGTCACATGGGCTCCATCTTATTTGGTCAATCTCTGGTCTGGGATCGATTGCCCTTATCTATGGGATAGTCTGCAGGGTCGTTCAACCTCTGGATGGTCCAGAGTTCGGGCCCACCGAAGTCGAATGTTTCTCAGCCCACCAAGCAACATCAGCGACATCACTGGTCTCGTTGCGTCTCGTCTCGTCGGACTTCTCGTCTCGTCTCTTCGAGGTGGGAAGTGATCCCAGGGACTCCCAAAACCTGGCTCGTGGCTGAGAATGACACGCTTTGGATGCGTGGCCCCGGCACTCGCCAGCGCTTGCCCTTTGGCCAACGACACGAGATGACCGTTCTCTCGCTAGGTGTGGCCTTCGAAACAGCTAAGGCTAAGGTTTGTCCGATTGGAACCAACTTCTGAAAGAGAACTGCAACCGGCCGGTGATAGAGGTTTTCCAAAGAGATTTTGGTACTTGGAGTCCTTTAAGGTATGAAGATCACCTGGCAGCGTTTACACATCCGCTATGGCTCTCCGTGCCCCACCTGGCAGCGTTTACAGTGGGGGGCGGCCATGTGCTCGTTGGGACCTGCGCCACTGGGAGCCAAAAACCTCACGTCACAAGACCAATCAACATTTAACATCATTTAACCCAATGTCCTTTTTTTTGACTCACAATCTCATAGCATGTTTGCCATCCACGACCAGAATTCTACTTGGCATTCACTTGGAGGACACTTGCTTTTGACAAAAGCTGATGATTTGCATTTGATTCGACTCAATGCTTTAGGGACAACATAGAGATCACCGCAAGGAAATGCTTAGGAGCATGGTGGTATGGAAGTTGCGACAGGTCCAGTGTTTTCAGGATTTTTCATGATGATGTTTGTTTTCGCTAAATTGATCGAGAGGCTAGCAGACATTGCATTACATATATACTATTGTATACTAGCGGCTTGAATGATTATAAGTGTGAGTTTCATTTTTGTTGAGTCACCGAGTCACCCAGTCTCATAGAATATTGGATCGTGATCGATGATGTTTGAACCAGGCAACCCGGACAAGCAGCCCGAATATGGGGAATGCTTCAATATATCCATCGTTCAACCCGCTAGGATTACAACGACGCCCGTCTTGTTTCATTCAACCCACCAGCATTCAGATGCAGTCCGATCTCCGGCATGACGAGCAGGGGCCGAAGGAGCAGAAGAGCCTCGACATATACCTCTTAGAGCTACTTGGCAGAGAAAGAATACAAATATTAGTAGAACATAGTATATAGAAAGATGTCCCGACTCATTCATTTAGACTCTTGATTCCTACCCCCCCAGACATGGATTGCACTAATCTCTTCAGGCCTGGGGGGTTGAAATATGGTCAAGTGTCTACATCCCCTAGGCCCCCAGTCGTACCTTCGTTTCGAAGGTGGGACTGGGGTGGGTGGGTGCGTCGGGTCCAGTCATACCGAAGCTGAGTTTCGGTACGACTGGAGATGGGTTATATAGATTCTTTGGGTACGATCTTCATCACCTTTTGTTGCTTCTCCTCCCTCGCCACGTGGGAGCCACGTGAACCGAAGACATGGACCGAAGATGTGGATGTCAGCCATTTCACCCGAGAAAGGCTTGCCTTGACACACAGACACACACATTATGGACTGAGCCTAAGAGTGCTACTTTTGGGGAACCCGAAGAGTGCCTAATTGGTTGCTAGTAGGGGAGATTTCTGAGACATACGACCTTTTGATGCCCAATGTTCAGCTCGTGTGAAGCGTCGTCGCTGGGGTTCTGAGGCATGAGCAGGATTTCTGACCGTGGAAAAAGAGGAGTGCGCGAGTGGTTGCGAAAGGGGTTGAGCGATGAACTTCGGTGGCTTCAAAGAGGAAGCCTCAGCCCGGTTGCCTTCGATATCCTCAGCCTCCCTGGAAGCAACATGCATGGCATGGCATGGCCCCGAAAGGAAGATCAGTTTCCCGTTGTCCAGGGGGTTTTCATTGGGTTTTCCACTTCCATGTTATATAACTTCCAGGGAGTGTAATTCATGCCACCTTGTAGGTTCAAAATCCACGAGGGTAGAAGCCGAGCCATGTAGGGCCAAGCGATAGAAGACCTCAGCGAACCAAGCGTTCCGGTTCTCAGGGTTCGGGACTCCTTTTGCATGCTGTGCCTTGATGTCTTATGATTTGTTCAACAAGTTGACACGGTCTTGAGATATATATATATATATGTGTTTGCGGTGATTTGGTTGGTGACCTGATGAAGACACAATATGTCTTTTCCCATGCCATGCAAGGACTTTCGCACATGCGTAAGCAAGACGGCCCCAACAATTCATTCACTGAACCTTGACATGGATTCCGCATACAGGTACATGTAGCCGAAGCTTTGTGCAGATCCCTCAAGATGGAACTTGTAGGAACTCCCGTGCAGTGTTTCTTTGACTATATACACCCCCAAATAGAAATTGGAAACCGCTTCTATCTATTTGGGGACCACTATCATAACCTACTTGTCCAAAGGTTTATCCCGTGACCTTTGGCCTTCTACACCAGTGGTGTTGTCGTGGGCTGAGTTGAGCAAGCAATTTCCTCCCTCAATTGTCGACAACGCGACCCGGTAGTAGTGTTTCTTTACTTTCCCATACTTTCCCCATGGATGAATCATGATGAATCCTCTTCTGGGGAATCTTCATGTTTTCTCCAGTTCGTGGACAGCAGATCCAAGCTAGGCTGGTATGCTTGTACAGTTGAGGATGTGTTTCTCTATATATGTCAAGTGAGTTCGAGCCAGTCTTCTAGCTGCTTTTCGTTCGGAGGCAATGGCTGGACAGCGCTGGTACCTCCCCCTTCTGGGTGCGTTTGGGAGAAGGGAGATGAGAAGCCGACCCTGCCAGGAATAGATCCTTGGAGAACCTATCCAGTCAGTGGATCACCTGGAAAACCTTTCTGGATCTTTTTGGAAATTGGTGTCCCATTCAAAATGAGCAGGTGGAAAGTTTGGTTAAGCCCTATTTTCCTGTGTCAACTGAGGGGGTCAGGTACATGATGCATCATGATGCTAGATTCATGCTAGATGTGTGTCGTGTAAACCAGCGATCCTCTGACGATTGAGCACCATGCTGCGGCATGGGTTTTGTAGCCTGGATGCCCAGGGCCAAATGAAAGGATCGCGGTGCCATTTCTGGAGAAAGTAGTGACTAGTCATCTGAATTCTCACTGCTGCTTGGGGACCTTTACACTTGTGAAGCAAGACTCAGATGTTCTTCGACCTGGACATTGTTACACTTCTTTGCTGCCTCACATGGAAGTGGAAAGCCCTTTGAAACCCCCCTGTTTCTAGAGGAAAGTCCGTCTTCCTTCGAGACCATACGAATACACTTCGACATGAAAGGTGGTTTCAGGTGTCGATGATCTGGGCAAAAAAACAGTGGTTTCAGGGTAGATGGCGCAACCCAAAAGGTGGTTCACATGGACCTCTCAAAGAGATGCATGGGGTTTGTCCATGTTTGTCCCATACTGTGAAACCACTGCAACAATACCAACAATCAAAAGTGCCTGCTGCATCTGTACTTGTCCAAAGTTTTTGTTGGTCTTGATGTTTATCAGATTCCCTTCCGGACCGGGATTGGATGTCCAATGGAAAAGTTGTGCTCCAAAACGCGCAGGGCAGTGAACCAACCTCATATGCCAAGACATCGGCCGTTGACTTAGGCATGCTAGCCAACTGCCGCACCCGTCCGACGTTGGGCTCAGTCTTCAGACATTTGTGCAGGGGCAGTTTCACATCCATTGAGGCCCCAAAAGTCCAGGCACGATGGGGGTTGGGAACCCATGACCACTGCTTTCGGACTTTGACAAGAAAAAGGGTGCATAACAGGAGCCTGCCCTAGGCCGGGGCAAGACGCGGTAGAACTATGTAGAACTACAGTTATCATTTATTGCCATCACAACGTGTTTTTTTAACGCTGGGTGTCATTCTACTGTGTGTGTGAATCTATTGCTCCTAATCTTGGTGTCCATCCGCGAGGTTAATTCAGTTCTTCTGCGCGGCTCTCGCACGTTTGCGGAGCGGCGCAGGCGGGCGCTTTTGTGGGGAGAGAGAGGGATGAATGTGGCAGCATGGGGCAGGTGCACACTTCGCAGTTTTTTGTTGACATGTGTCGTTTCTCTTGTTCTTTTCAGCCCCCTTCTCAGTTGCCATCAGGTTCAATTGTGCTTGTGAATGCCTTGTTCATTTCTTGCGACTAGGAGCCGAGCCGACTCTGAGCAGGCAATGTAACAGGATAGACTCAATTTGCACAAGTGGCACCTACCTTGTTCAATGTTGAAGCGAGATTTCCATGTCCTATCTTGATGCAATGTGTTTTTTCCCAGAGGCTCCCGGCATTCATGGTAACTAGTTAGGCAGGCTCTGGTCAAGTATACAGGGACATCCATGGACATATCATCACCGCTCATTGATAGCCACAAATTTGTGAGGGGTCTTGCTTAGAGATATATTTGTTTAACTCTTTATTGCAGGGGTATAATGATAGAATTGGATTGACCAAAGATAAATCATCATGATGATCACCCCAAAACCAGGTGGTGATGATCAGGTGATATTTGCCTTCCAGTCGAATCGATTGATTTCGTGGAAAGCTTTCATTTGGCAGGTGGAGCAGTTTGGGGTGGAGGCGAGCTGTTGAGTGAAGAGTGAGCTGAAGGGCATTTTGGGGGTGGTTGTTACATGTTGTTACACTCCGAACACACTCAGGAAGTGGATAACATACTTTAAAGTACTAGTATACAACATGATCCCTTTGAAGATCTTCGAAGACATTCCAAGACTACGAATTCGTCAACCCCTTCGAAGACAATCGAAGGCAATCGAATGCGTTTGCAAACCGGTGTGCTGTTACACTTCCATCGGAAGCAGGTTGGCCAGGGCCCAGGGGCGATCCATGTTTTGGGTGTGAACGGAGAAGGTTTGGAGATGTTCGACCCAGCAAACTCTCCTGTTCGACCTTCAGCGCTAGCTGGTTGCGTGGCTTGTAACTCGCAGGTTGCCAGTAGCTCAAGCTCTCTCCAAGCTCACGATGCTGTTCTTTTTGCTGTTGGAGGCGGGAAACAAATTCTCCGGAGGCGGTCAGTTGCAGGTGGATCCTGCAGGGTTCTGGCAAACAACGCCTTTTTGCTTTTGGGATGAAACTCATCGAACTGTCCAACATCAGGGATCCTAAGAATCCTAAGGGTACGTGAGTTCACGCGAAGCAGCTTTCTTGCATGAGGACAGTAATTATCTGTGGGAGTTGTGAATCTTGTGCCAAGAATTAAAGATCAAATTTTGCTCAATGTCTTCAACAATCTGAAGACAAACATCATTTAAAGCCTGAGATGAGATATCTAATTCTTGGAGTGCTCTGTAGATTTTGGGCTGCTTGTTAAGCTTCTTTCTTCATTGGCTTTCGGCCGTAGAAAAGACGGAAACGAACGGACCTTCGGTCGAGCCGAGCTCGGACGTTCGGTGCGGGCGAACCTTAAGAAGCAACCGACCTGGTGCGAGCGACCGCGGGGGGGATGTTCCCTCAAGCACGACAGCTAGATCAACTATGGCTACATCAGTCCCCGCATGTGTTCGCGACTTCCGCCGTCCGAGCCCGGTCCGGGGAAGCTCCTCGGTCTTCCAGGGTTGCTCCACGGACTGCCTATTCGGTCGGAAAAGGATGGAATCAGATCCCACCTAACCATATCCCCAGGTTTGGTGGTTGGGGTGCCAGGGGGGTCTAACCACCTGAGGAGATGGGGCAGGAGCCCTAGGAATTATACAATATAATACAATATAGACATAACGCGCCAACCACCACCAACAAGCACAGTAATTAATGTAATTAGACTCTTTAGACTCTTGATCAACAGAACCTCCCGCAGATTAAGAGGTGTTTCAATCCAGGTGCGGGAGTTGCAAATCAAGATCTAGAGTCTACATTATGGTAATCTCGACTCTTGATGAATAAACCTTCATGTAGGACAAAGTTTTACAATCCAAATCGGCGGTTATTCATCACATTTAATCAACAGTCTACATGACGGTTTTGAACCCTAGGGCTCCGAACGGCCCGTATCCCCAGGCTCGGTGGGCACGGACCCCCAAACCCATCCACCCACCCCAACCATCTGACCGAAACGGAGGTAGGCCAGGAGCCCTTGGGGAATGCATGTGTCCTATTGTTTCATAGTTTTTTTTTGAGGATCACTCAGCTCCATAAATACCATCAGCCAGAAGTTTCGGACACCCCCACTTCCTCCATCAAGCACCCAAGTCCGAACTGCTCCGGAAACTGGGTTGTCCGGAGATGGGATGTGAAGAAACCCTGCCAAGGGGCCAAGGGTTGCAGCACCCAACTCCACCAGGACCCTCCAAGGGGTGTCCATTTATAGCCCCTTAGCTGTTAAGGGGTGTCCATTAACCACCCCTTGGGGGTCCTGGCATGGAATTCCTTTCTGATTTGAATCTGCTACGGGTGCCATATCTCCGCCGTGGACAACGCCGCAGGGGCTTCTTCATGGTGCGTCGGCCGGCGAAGCAACCGTCTCGTCGAGCTTGGCCAGCTCCGTATATCAGATCCGACCAGGCCGGTTACAGTTGCAGTCATTTTAGTGCCTTGTCATAGGGTGCGTCCCTTTTGCCAGTAACAGTCCGTTAAACAAATATTAATAGAACAACAGCCCTTTCTGGTGGGAAGTCCCAGAACCATCATCATCCACTGTTTTCTGGCAGCCATGGCAATGGGATTTACCTCATTCACCCCCTCTTAACCTTCATGATTGACC